AAACAGACATATAGACCAATGCAACAGAATGAAGACCTCAGAAATAACAACATATCTACAACTGTCTGATCTTTGACAAACCTGGCAAAAACAAGCGATGGGAAAAAGATGTCCTATTCAATAAGTCGTACGAGGAAAACTGGCTAGCCATGTGCAGAAAACTGAAACCAACCCTTTCCTTACACCTTATACAAAAATTAACTCAAGATGGATTAAAGACTTAAATTTAAAACCCAAAACCATAAAATCTCTAGAAGAAAACCTAGGCAATACCATTCAGGATATAGGCATGGGCAAAGACTTTATGACTGAAACACCAAAAGCAATTGTAACAGAAGCCAAAATTGACAAATGGGATCTAATTATACTAAAGAGCTTCTGCAGAGCAAAAGAAGCTAGCATCAGAGAACAGGTAACTGACAGAAAGGGAGAAAATTTTTGCAATCTACTCATCTGACAAAGATCTAGTAACCAGAATTTACAAGGAACTTAAATATATTTACAAGAAAAAAAAATCCCGCCAAAAAGTAGGCAAAGGTTATGAACACACACTTTTCAAAAGAAAACAATTTATGCAGCCAACAAACATGGAAAAAAAAAAAAAACCTCAACATCACTGATCATCAGAGAAATGTAAATCAAAACCACAATGAGATACCATCTCACAGCAGTCAGAATGGCGATTATTAAAAAGTCAAGAAACAACAGATGCTGGCAAGGCTGTGGAGAAATAGGAATGCTTTTACACTGTTAGTGGGAGTGTAAATTAGTTCAACCATTGTAGAAGACAGTATGGTGATTCCTCAAGGATCTAGAACAAGAAATACTATTAGACTTTATTGGGTATATACCCAAAGGAATATAAATCATTCTACTATAAAGATACATGCACACGTATGTTGACTGCAGCACTATTTACAATAGCAAAGACATGGAACCAACCCAAATGCCTATTAATGATAGACTGGATAAAGGAAACATGGCATATATACCACATGGAATACTACGCAGTCATAAAAATGAATGAGATCATGTTTTTTCCAGGGACATGGATGAAGCCGGAAGCCATCATCCTCAGCAAACAACATAGGAACAGAAAACCAAACACCACATGTTCTCACTCATAAGTGGGAGTTGAACAATGAGAACATGTGGACACATAGAGAGGAAAAACACACAGCAAGGCCTGTAGTGGGGTGGGGGGTGTGAAGGGAGGGAACACAGAGGACGTGTCAATAGATGCAGCAAACCACCATGGCACATATATACCTGTGTAACAAACCTTCACGTTCTGCACATGTATCTTGGTTTTTTTTTTTTAATAAGAAATTTAAAAAAAATAAATAAAAAACTATATTCTCAAAGGATGTAAAAATATATATTTAAATTAATGGAAATGACACTATATCAAAATAAGTGAGAGATAGCTAAAGCAGTACTGATACAGAAATTTATAGAGCTAACTGCATATGCTAAAAAATGAGAAAACATCTCAAATCAATAATCTAAACTCCAACCTCAGGGACCTATAAAAAGAAGAGCAAATAAACTCAAAGCAAGCAGAAAGAGGATAATAAAGATAAGAGCAGAAATTAATAAACTTGAAGACAGAAAAATGACACAGAAAATCAGTGAAACAACTGGTTGTTTGAAAAGATCAATAAAACTGACAAACTACTATTAATACTGACAAAGAAATAAAGAAAAAAGACACAAATTACTAACATGAGGAATGAAACAGGGGATATCATTAAAAATCTTGCGTATTTCAAAAAGATACCAGAAAAAACTACATACAAATTTGACAACTTAAAGTAAATGGATGATTTCCTCAATAAAATATGAACTACCCCAACTCATTCAATATGAAATAAAATATTTGAATACCCCTGTAACTAATAAGGAAACTGATTTCATAATTTTAAAACCCCAAAAAAGAAATCACCTGGCCTAGGTGGTTTTAGAGGAGAATTTTACCAATAAATTAAGGAAGAATTAATACCAATTCTATACAATTTCTTCCAGAAACTAGGAACTATCAGTTCATTTTATAAAGCCACTATTAGCCTGATACCAAAACCAGACAAGGGCAAAACAAAAACGGAATGACACAATAAAATTGTGCATAAATATAGAATTTTAGAAGCTAAATCTAACAAAATATTAGCAAATATAATTCAGCTCTAAATAAAAAGAATTATACACCATGACCAAGTGAAGTCTATTTCAGGAATTCAAGGTTAGTTTAATATTCAAAAAGTAATTGATGAAATCCTTAATATTACCAAGCTTAAGAAGAAAAATCACAAGATACTATTAATTGGCACACAAATTGGTATTCGATAGAATTCAATACCCATCCATGATAAAATGTCTCAGAAAAAAAATAGGAATAGGCTGGGTGTGGTGGCTCATGCCTATATATCCAGCACTTTGGGAGGCTGAGGCAGGTGGATCGCCTGAGGTCAGGAGTTCAAAACCAGCCTGGCCAACATGGTGAAACCCCATCTCTAGTAAAAACACAAAAATTAGCCAGGCATGGTGGTGGGCACCTGTAACCTCAGCTACTCAGGAGGCTGAGGCAGAAATTGCTGGAACCCAAGTGGCAGTGGTTGCACTGAGCCAAGATTGCACCATTGCACTCCAGTCTGAGCGACAACAATAAGACTCCATCTCAAGGAAAAAAAAGGAATAAAGGGGAACTTACTCAACTTAATAAAGTCCACTTTTACCACTTGATATAGTTTGGCTGTGTCCCCACCCAAATCTCCCTTTAATTGTAATAATCCCTATGTGTCAAGGCCAGGGCCAGGTGGAGATAATTGAATCCTGGGGGCAGTTTCCCCCATACTGTTCTCATGGTAGTGAACAAGTCTCATGAGATCTGATGGTTTTATAAATGGGAGTTCCTCTTCACAAGCTCTCTTGCCTGCCACCATGTAAGATGTGACTTTGCTCCTCTTTTGCCTTCCACCATGGTTGTGAGGACTCCCAGCCATGTGGAACTGTGAGTTAATTAAACCCCTTTTCTTTATAAATTACCCAGTATTAGGTATACCTTTATTAGCAGTGTTAGAATATACTAATACACTACTCTATTGAACATTGTGCTAGAAGTTCTATCCACTGCAATAAGGCAATAAAAAAATAAAAAGCATACAAATCAGAAAGAATGAAATAAAATGGTCCCTACTTGTGAAAGATGTTATTCTCTATTTAGAAAATCCTAATAAATTTACCACAACACACACACACACATGCACATAAAACCTTTAACGAATAAGCAAGTTATGCTAGGCCTCCGAATACAAGATAAGTGTACAAAATTAATTGCATTTCTATGTGTAAGCAATGAACATGTGAACACCAAAATTTCAAACATAATACCACTTAAAATCTCAAAAAAATAAAGTACTTAGTTGTACAGGGTTTGTATGGTGAAAAGTATACATGAATAAGAGAAATTTTTAAATATCTAAAGAATGGAAAGACATAGAATGTTCATAAATTGGAAGCCTCAATAAAGATGTCGGTTCTTCCCAGATTAATATGCAAGTTCAACACAATGCCTATCAAAATCCCAGCAAGATCTTTTGTATATACAGACAAGATGATTCCAGAATTTACCTGTGGATGCACTAAAATAGCAAAAACAATTTCGACAAAGAAGGATAAGTGGGAGAGATCAGTCTATCTGATTTCAAGAACTTTTATATCGCTAGAGTAATCAAGACAATAGTATTAGAGGATATATAAACATATATATCAGTGGAACTGAGGCGAGAACCAAGAAATAGACCACATAAATATGCTCCACTGATTTTGATAGGGAATTCAAAAGCAATTTAACAGAGAAAAAAGAGCCTTTCAACAAATGGCGCTGGAACAATTGGATATCCATAGGCTAAAAAAAATGAACCTTAAACTTACATCTTGTACAAATATTAACTCACAAAAAAACCTGTGTGTATAACTATTTGTAATAGTCATAAACTGGAAATAATCTAGATGCCCTTGAATAAATGATTTATTAAGCAATCCATGGTACATTCATGTCCCAGACTCAGCAATTATAATAGAATGAACTGCTGATATACAAAATATGGATGAATCTCCAGACAATTACTCTGAGTAAAAAAAAAACAAAAAGTTGATCCCAGAAGGTTACATACAGTATGATTCCTTTATGTAACATTCTTTAAATAACAAAATCATATAACTTGATAATAGATTAATAATGATTGCCAGGAATTAAGGAGGGGATGGAGAAGGAGGGAAGCAGGTACTATAAGAGGGCAACATAAGGGCAGTGTTCTCTATCTTGACTACATCAGTGTCAATATCCTGATTGCAATATTGTTCTATGGTTTTGCAAGCTATTTTGGGGAACTGGGAGTTCATGGGATCTCTCTGTATTACTTCTCCCAAATGCATGTAAGTCTATAGTTATCTCAAAATTTAAGTTTAATTTAAACTATAGCTGATATTCTATGGTTAAAAATAGAATGCTGAAAAAAAAGAGATTTTAAGTGGCTGCAATTATTAATTTGCAAAAGCTCCCTCAAGGAAAACTTCCCTCTCTCAGACTAACATTGATTTTTTTACTGGTTATAGAAAAGAAAACTCATAGCATATATACTGAATCTATTCTAATAGGATAAACACAACAGATCTTTAGAGCAAACAACTACTTTACTTTTTAGTGACCAACTACTTCAACTAGAGATATAGGTAAGGAGCTGGGGCCCGGAGTGACTATTATACTAGGAAGGCTGAGGTCAGAGTAGGTATCCAAATAAACATATCCTCTAGGCATTTAGAAATACAGGATTGGAGTAGTGCTAAAGAAAATCAGAGATGAAGACTTATAAATGATGGTAAAAGTCTTGAGGATGACCTTACTAAAAAGAAAAAATATTATTTATACTATGACAATATACCTAGGACTACAAAGTAGGTACAGGATGGACAAAAATTCACATATTTCATTTCTTTTCTAGACTAAATCCGGCTACTTGCAAAAATATAAAGAAATACAGCACATCTTGGATAGCACCCAGAAATCAACCTTTTATAATCCAAGGGGATGTTATGGCAAACTCTTCAGAATGGGTCCAGTCTAAGCCCCACAGGTCATTTGAAAGTTTATCACCTCTCAAAGTCCCCAAGAAGAATAAACATTCTCAAATCTGGGCCATAAAGAATGAAGACATAAAACCTCTCAGCAGCAAGTGGGAGACTGCTTCTTCAAGCTTTGAAATGGATGCAAATGTTCTAAAATATAAGAGTCTTCAAGCTGAAGAAACTAACCAGCAAAGCTCTAAGCATACAACCCTCCATCTAACTAAAAATAAGGATGAGCAGGCCAATAAGAATGACGGACAACCACCTTACATCTGAAGTTCCAAAGGGAGAGTTAATCTAGCTTTATGCTGCTCTGAGAACTGTGAATGAAAGATAATATATGCTTAGGTAGTAAAAAGAAAAAAGGAAAGCCCTCCCCTTCCCCTTTCCCTGTCCCTCCCCTACACATGCATATGCATAAACCACAAATTTTAGATATCCCATTTTCTGTAGTGGGGACCTCTTTCAGAGACTTAAAAAGAAATCCAGAGAAAATATGGAAAAAATTTTAAACATATATTTATATTTATTTTTTAACAACTTGGAAAAATATCCCTGAAGTTTTGATCTCTTCCAAAGCTACTTATGCATTCGACACCAAAATTTGACACCTAAGGACTAAGGCAGGGATGATATGTAATATGTCATTGATTTTAACCTCCCTACTAGACACTTTAATGAATCAATCAACAAACATCATTTCCTGATTTTCTGTCATATCGTTGGTGTGCTAGGAACCATTTATCTCCACTAGGAGATTATCAAATAATTGTACAGATAAAACATACATGAATAAAATGATTACAGAATAAGAGAAAGTGTTAAGTTGTGCACTTCCAATGATTAGAAGAAATACTGTATATTAAAAGTTGCTAGTTGCACAAAGCAGAAGTGTGGCACAAAATGGCACTGAAATGCATAGACTATGGTTTAAAATAGTCATTTTATTTCTCAAAATGTGGCAAAGGTGTAAAGAGGCACAGTTTCCTTTACAGCGAATGAGTTTACATCTCCAGCCATTTATTCATGTGGACACTGGAGTAAGTCTAGCACCTCGGTTTGTCATTCATAAGGCAGTGAGCACCGGGAGGGATTTGTGAAGGACACACAGAGGAGCAGGTATGTCAGGCAGAAGAGTAAAGATGGATGTGGTAAGTAAGAAAACAGCAACAAGCAGCCTCGAGTCATAGGTCAACATTGGCATCCATTAGAAAATGAGGCTAAGCAGAAGGAGGGTCAGGTAGGTGAGGTATACTAAAAATACAGGCCACAGCCTAATTACAGCTGGGTGGAACAATGAAGATCTGGGGTTGAGTGATCTACTCTCAACAGTATTTCTACCAGCTAACGAGTTTTCAAGGAGAGCGCACTGCACTATTAAAAGAGTAACTATTATGTTTTAAAAGACCATGACTGTAGATTTCCTCAGGAATCTTTAACATCTAGTGGAAAATAGCTATCTTCTGAACACATGAGATAGTGCTTTGGAGGCAAGTCTCCTGGTTCTCAGAGAGTCCCTCAACTTTTGATCTAAAATTCTCATCCTCAGTGATTATCTTGGGCAAGAGCAGAAGTCTATTTGCTTTGGGGATGCCCTCTGCCAGGTGGGTGCTCAAGCTTGGGAGAATAGGTTAATGTTCTGGATCATAGCATTTATTGTAGCTGACTTCAGGATAGAGTAAGAGTTCTCAAAATTCAGTTGGCCCTTTTCCACATGGATGACAAAAGCCTAAACTCTGGGAAAATATTTATTTTTAATTCAACGAAATGTCATTTGAATCTTCAGTTGTCTAAGAGTTTGAAATTGTAAACTCTGGAATTTATTGTCTTTGTGGATGACCAAAAAAGGTGATAAGCCAGTTTCCTGGAAGATTTAGGGATGCAGAGATACCACCTAAACAATTTTGCCTTGATCCATAATTGCATTCCTTGTATTTGATACAAATATAAGATGCTTTACCCAAAGTAGGAGGATTGGCAGTCCATTTCCTCACTCTGCTATAATACTTTCAATTTTCTGAGTATGCCACTCTCTCATAAAAGCCATTCATTCTCTTGGCCCAGTATCTCCTCCACCTGGCAGCTCCTATTTCTTTAAGATTCAACTCAACTGCTGCCTTCTCTGACAAACCTTCCATGTATTTCCATAGAAATTTAAAACAACTATGATTAATATGTTGACAGTTCTAATGGGAAAAGTGGACAACATAAAAGAACAGATGGGTTATATAAGCAGAGAGATGAGAACTAAAACAAAAAAAATGCTCGAAATCAAAAACACTGTAACAGAATGAATGATGGACTACTCATCAGGTTAGACACAACTGAGGAAAGAATCAGTATGCTTGAAACAGTGTCAACAGAAACTAGCAAAACTCAATTGCAAAGAAAAAAAGAATGAAAATCCAAAATATCCAAAAACTGCAGGACAATTTTAAAAGGGATGTAACACGTGTAATGGGAATACCAGAAGTAAAAGAAAAAAGGAACATAAGAAACGTTGAGGTAATAGTGACTGAGAATTTCCCAAAATTAATGACAACTAACCACAGATCCAGAAAGCTCACAGAATACCAGGAAGGATTAAATACCAAAAAAATCAAAGACCAAGAAAAAAATACTGAAAAAAGCTGCCAGAGGGGGAAAAAAAAAAACAAAAAAAGAACCACCTTATGTATAGATAAGGTGTATCCCTTACAAGGGATAAGAATTACGTCAGATATCTCTTCAGAAACCATGCAAGAAAAAAGAGAGTGGAGTGAAATATTTAAAGGGTTTAAAGAACCAGTGTCTCAGCTCAGGGTGCTGTAACAAAATACCACAAACTAGGCTGCTAATGAAACAACAGAAATTTATCTCAGTTCTGAGGCTGGGAAGTCCAAGATCAAGATGCCAGCAGATCCAGTGTCTGGTAAGGGCAGTCATCTTGGTTTGCAGATGGCCCTCTTGTTGTATCCTCACATGGCAGGGAGAGATCATCTCATGTCTCTTTTTATGAATGCACTAATTCATTCATGAAGGCTTAACCTTCATGACCTATTACCACCCAAAGGTCCTATCTTCTAATACTATTACACTAGTGGTTAGGATGGCAACGTATGAAATTTGGGGGATGCAACATCAGACCATAACAACCATTGACTATAATTCCGTATCCAGTGAAATTGTCCTCCAAAAGTGAAAGAGAAATGGAAATTTTCAGACAACCAAAATTGTGGGAATTTGTCACCTCTAGACCTGCTTTTTCTTTAATGTTAAAAGAAATTCTTTAGAGAGGAAGAAAAGTATATAGGTCAGAAATTCTGGCCTATGTAAAGAATGGAAAAGCAATAGAAAAGGAATAAATGAAGGTAAAATAAAATATTTTATTTTTCTTAATTGACTGAACAGATAATGGTTTGTTCAAAACAATAACAATGCATTCAGAGCCTATTGATAAGTGAAATGAACAGCAGCAATGTTATACGGAATGAGAGAGAGGAATTGGGAATACCCTGTTATAAAATACTTGTACTACCAAAGAAGTGAGTGGTATAGTGTCATTCGAAAGAGGATTAGATTAATTGTAAACATATCCTGTAAATTCAAGGGTAAAAAAGAAGTATAACTGATATACTAAAATAGGAAAAAACTGAATCATACAAAATATTCCATTAAAATGAAAGGAGGTAGAAAACAAGTGGAAGACAAAATAACAAAAAACAAAGGTAATGAATAGAAAAAAGTAACAAACATGGTAGATATTAATTCAGCTATTTCAATAATCACATTAAAAGCCAATGGTCTAAATACAGTGGTTATAAGACAGGAGACTTTCAGAATGGATAAAAAGGTAGGATCCAATATGACTCATATGTTGTAAAGAGATTTTTTTTTCCAACTTTTATTTTAGGTTCAGGGATATATGTGCAGGTTTGTTACATGGGTAAATTGCATGTCGTGCACATTTGATGTACAGATTATTTAATCACTTATGTAATAAGCATAGTACACAATAGGTAGTTTTCCAATGCTCACCCTCCTCCCACCCTTCACTCTCAAGAAGGCTTAGTATCTATTGTTCCCTTCACTGTGTCCATGTGTACTCAGTGTTTAGCTCCCACTTACAAGTGAGAATATGTGGCATTTGGTTATCTGTTTCTACATTAATTGGCTTAGGATAATGGCCTCCAGCTCCATCCATGTTGCTGCAAAGGACACTATTTCATTCTTTTATATGGCTGCATAGTATTCCATAGTATATATGTACTACATTTTCTTTATTCAGTTCACCATTGATGGGCATCAAGGTTAATTCTATGTCTTTGCTACTGTGAATAGTGCTGCAGTGAATATACACATGCATGTGTCTTAATGGTAGAACAATTTACATTCCGTTGGGTATGTACTGCATAATGGGATTGATAGGTCAAATGACAGTTACAAGTTCTTTGATAAATCTTCAAACTGCTTTCCATAGTGACTGAACTAATGTACATTCCCAACAACAGTGTGTAAGCATTTCCTTTTCTCTGCAAACTCACTTTTTTTTACTTTAACAATAGCCATTCTGACTATTGTGAGATGGTACCTAATTGCGATTTTGATTTGCATTTATCTAATCATTAGTGATGTTGAGAATTTTTTCACATGCCTATTGACCATGTGTATGTCTTCTTTTGAGACGTGTCTGTTCGTGTCCTTTGACCTTTTTTTATGGGGTTTATTTTTTGCTTGTTTTTTTATAGATTCTTGATATTAGATCTTTCTTGGATGCATAGTTTGCAAATATTTTCTTCCCTTCTATAGGCTGTTTACTGTGCTGAAAGTTTCTTTTGCTGTGCAGAAGCTCTTTAGTTTAATTAGGTCCCACTTGTAATTTTCGTTTTTGTTGCAGTTGCTTTTGTCGTCTTCAATATGAAATATTTGCTAGAGCCTATGTCCAAAATGGTTTTTTCTGGGTTTTCTTCTATGGTTTTCATAGTTTTAGGTTTTATATTAAGTCTTTAAACCATCTTGAGTTGATATTTTGTATATGATGAAAGGAAGGGGCCCAGTTGCAATCTTCTGCATATGACTAGCCAGTTATTCCAGCACTACTGTTTGAATATGGTGCTCTTTTTCCACTGCTTATTATTGTCTGCTTTGTCAAAGATCAGATGGCTGTAGGGTGCAACATTAATTCTGGGTTCTCTAACCTGTTCCCTTGGTCTGTATGTATGTTTTTGTACCAGTATCATGTTGTTTTGGTTACCATAGCCTTGCAGTATAGTTTGAAGTCAAGTAGTGTGATGCTTCCAGCTTTGTTCTTTTTGCT